GTTGGCCACTAGTGGCCAGACTATTGGCGGTTTCTATATTAAACCCAATTTCCCGGGCCGATCAGCACATTTGGCCAACGTTGGACTGGCCATCAAAATGGACTACCGTAGTCACGGTTTGGGCAGCTATATGATGGAACGGGTAGTTAAATATGGTAAACTAATTGGCAGCTATGAGGCACTCTATACGAATCTAGTCTACTGTTCAAATCTGGCCAGTATAGCCCTGTGCAAAAAATACGGTTTCCGTGAAGTCGGTCGGCTGCCACGGGCCGGCAATCTCAATGGACACGGCTATGTCGATGCGTTGCAATTGTATAGAGATTTACAGGTTGATTGAATATAATCATTATTATTAAATAATTATTATTATAATTGACATTTTTTGACAACAAACCTATTAATTATGTGAATATATTGAATGATTACCCCCATAATAAATTGGTTTATTCCCCCACCCCACCCCCCTACCCTCCGATTTTTACAATAATTTTTTAATATAATTGGTTATATAAAATCTAATGTTAATTTTTTTTATATACTGTTTGATTTTTATTATTATTAACAATTTTTATGATATATATTATGATGATGATGATGATGATGATATATTATATATTTAAATAAATATGAATAATAATAATAATTATTATATAGTTTTTAATAGTTTAAACATTAGATTATACTGTATATTATGTACTTAAAGTTTTTACAGTATTATGGCATAGCATTAATGCAGTTATGTTTTTTTAATAAAAATATAAAAATGTAATTTTGTTATCATAATCATAATCAGCATATGTTTATTTAAGTAAACTTTTTTTATATATATATATAATTGTAATTTGAAATCTAATGTGATGTGAAAATCAAGATTTCTCACACATTTTCTTTTAAATATAATTATTATTATATTTGGATTTATAATGAGATATATTTATGTATACAGTATACTACTGTATAATGTATATAAAAAATCAATTATGTTTAACAAGTAATAAACAATTTTTTTTATACATATATATATATAAAACATACGGTTCTATCAAATACTAATAATATACAGTATATTACTGTTTGCATAAATGCATAACAACACTGAATAATGATTTTCATATGAACTGTATATACAGTATATTATCTATTGATATATAATACTTATATATTATATTACATAACTGTAAGTTTAAGACAGGGTATTATATGAGATACTTAAAAAAAATTATGCCTTTAAAAATATAAGATATATATATATATATAACTAATAGTAAAATAATATTACTGTAATTTTTTTGATTATTTTGATTACATGACAACCATAAAACCACACCATATGTTGTTAGTGTGGTTTATAGACCATAACCAATAAAAATGATCAAAAAAAAAGTTTGTCCAAAAAATTATGATTAAATTTCAAGTTAAATAAAAAAATATATTAATAATACCACAAAAAATACTGTATTTTCATCATATATACTGTAAAATATGATATTAATAATAAATAATGAAAATCTCTTTGACTCTCAGCTTTTTTTAACAAAAAAAAAAACATTTCTTATATTATATATAAACAAAATCATTGACTGATTAAAAAAAAAATTATCCCAACTTTTTTTTCGATGATTTTATTTTCTCAATTTGAAACACTTGTGTCACTTAAATCTGACAGTTAATGTCCCGGGAAATGGATATAACTATTCAATAGATAACAACAACAACAACATCAACAACAACCATAAAATACTATATATTTTTTTAGTTGAAAAAATCATAAAACAGTTATATTCACTGTCTATCTATATGTCATCTCTCTCTCTCTCTCTCTCTCTTTCTCTCAAAAAGAGGCTCTCTTTCTCACGAAAAAAATATAAAGTTTTCAATTAAATGTTTGTCTAAAAATCAGTGGAAAAAGTTTTGTTTAGTTTTTTTTGGGTAAAAATTTTTGTCTCTATCTCTATATAATACTATACAACAACCGTTTTTTTTTCATTCATTTCATATACAAATATCAAATAACATTTCCGACATATGATTTGCCAGACAGACAGACACACAAATATTATACACACTGTGTGTATATACACATTGTATTTATTAATAAATAAATAAAATAAATAATACAATATTTGTATTATTATTACTACTACTACTACTATACGGAACTTTATGGCCTCAAAAAACCCTCTAAAAACACACAGAAGCTATTAATATAATAAATTTGTATTATATTTGTATATTATTATATTATATTTGCTAATTGAACCCAAAAAAAGTTTATGCACTTCAATACTAGAGTATATACATTAATCTATAAATGCAGACAAACATATACAGTGTATAATATAATACTATGAAATCCAATAACAATTTTTTTTTTTGATACTTGTATTATCAAAATCGGGTATCAAATGTGTTATGCCTTTAAATAGCCATCAAATCGTTCGCCTTCTCTCTCTCTCTCTCTCTCTCTCTCTCTCTCTCTCTCTCTCTCTCTCTCTCTCTCTCTTTCCATGTATTTGTTTCAATGCTAACTATAGATCGTTCAAACAGATAGGCTATTATGTCTGTCCTCCAGTTAACGTGTAATTATATGTTAGTACACATAGTATCGTATCTGTAGAGTCTGTATGTATTATTGTGCCTACCAGTGCGCACTACAGTATACATATATATATATTAGAAATATACTGTATGTTACATAATAATAGTATATCCCATTCCCAAATATAAGTAACCCAATAAGGAAATATTCCCTATTAAATGGCAACTTTATATTACCAATAAACTGGTATATTATATGGAAAAATTTCAGATTCAAACTTGTTTTTAATGGGAGGGAATATTATAACCTAAGTTATACCCGAACACTATAGACCGGTGCCATTCAACAAGTTTTAGGGGTGGGTAAACCCCCATTGGCAATATGAGCACCCCAGACACCACCAGCACCACTACCATCCAACTACTGGTGCCAACGTGTGGACACTGTATGTATTTTAGCTAAGAGTTAGAGAGAGAGAGAGAGAGAGAGAGAGAGACAACATCATGTTATGACATATAAAATAATATCAGATGTAAATTATATACATATATAATATATATATATATATATAAATGTATTAATTGTATACAACAACAAAAATGTATATTACAAGTGTGTGTGTGTTTGATATCACAATAAACAATATTATTGTTATCTAATTAATTATATATATATATATATCATATACGGTATTATATAATCAAGTTTGCCATTCAAATAGTTAAGTGTGGATATCATCACCCTATTTGTTATGCGTCCAACAAAAAAATTCAACAAAAAAGTAATAATAATAATATTAATATATTTTGTTATATAATTTAATTACAAGTTTTTTTTCATTTAGCATATATACCAGTATATTATACTGTATTATATAATTATATACAATATATATATATATATATATATATATATCATATATGGTTTTATTGTATGAGATATATCATCATATTTTTTGTTTGTTTGTTTGTTTAATACAATAATAAATTTATTGTCAAACAATATATATGACATAATTTTCATATCAATATTAACCTCAATATCTCATTTCAATTATTTTTTGTCGCCTAATGTTAATAAACTTTTTATTTTTTTTTATATTAAAATTTTTATTTTATTTAGTCATTAATTTATTTATGATATTTTTCTGCTCTTCATTTGCACAAAAAAAAATTATATATAATTTTTTTGGTTACAAAAAAAAAGTTTTTCATTTTTAATTTATTTTCTCATTATATTTCATCCATTGATTCATTGATTCATTCAATACTATAATATGTCTTATCTTTATCTCTATCCATACGATCGTTATGTCTGTTATCCATGAAGTGATCCGACGCCGGAAAAGTGCTGTCGAAAGGTTGGCTGAAAGCAAATACAATTACATTAAGAAGAGTTCGTCGGCTAATACGGCTCTGACGGACACCACGACCACTAACAACAACAACAATCATAAGACATGTCTGCATAGGACACTATCTACCGGCGGTTTGAGGACACCGCTACTCATTGTAACTCATAGTAGCAGTTCGTCGACACCGTTGAAGACCATAACCAACACCAACAACAACATCCATCATCACAACCACAACCACAACAACAACAACCATAACTTCAACAACAATGACCTGATTAGCTGCGAGTCGTCGTCGACGACGGCGACGATGACGACGACATCGCCGTCACCGCCAAGTCATCATCCAGTGATAGCATCACCACCACCGCTACCACCACCCGTGACCACCATTACTGCAGGTCAACAACAACAACAGCAACCAGTGGTCATCACCCGAAAGCGTAATCCGTCGCTATCTTCTCGTTTGTCCGAAGGGTCCAACAATTTGGAGATTCAGTTGAGGCAACTGCTCGGCGATAGTATCGGCGGCGATAATAACAATTGCCAACAACAACAACAACAGTCAGCATCCATTGCCAGTGATTTAGTTGACATTTATCATCACAAGTCGCCAAATGTTGGTAAAGTGGTGGTCACTAGTGATAGTAGTAGTAGTATTAGTAGTAGTATTAATAGGGATCAACAGTTAACAGTATTGTTGTCCAACGAAAGTCATCCATTGAAGCCAAAGCCTCATCCGACGGAAAGGATTGCAACAAATTGTCCGACAATTTATAGGCAATCCATTGCCGCAGCCAATCAACGAAATGTCTTAATCAGCAGCAAAACTGGCGATAATGGTATCATCACTGCCAACAACAACAACAAGATTCCCGTTCCTATTGAAAGGAAAGGCATCATAAGGAAGACAACAACGACAACAACAGCCACTACTTTGGGACCAAATACTAGTCATAAACTTATTACCGCTAATTGTCATAACATTTTAAGTGCAAACCCAAACCCAAAGCCATTGCCACCGAAACCGTCAGCTGTAGCGGCAGCATTGGCCGCGGCGGTTGCGTCGACAACACCGATACTGACACTACCGCACCAGCGAATTGTCGGAACTCCACACCATCATCATCGGGTGACAATAGGCCTTACCGTTGGCTGTCCCGTTGCAAGCCGAGGAACAGGAGTAGGAGGAGGAGGATCGTCATCACTGTTTACCGCACGACAGCTGAGTATATCGCGTTCAAAGTCCGATGTGTCCAATCGGCTGCTCGTCCGGCGTAACAAAAGTAAGGACGAAATCGAACGGTTCTTCGAAACACTTGGTCTGGACTCGACTGTCTGGGATTCGATCCGATCGGAGGCCACAACCAATTCGCTAATATCGACGCCCAACCATTTTTTCGAGTCCTACGATTCCATCGACTCGGACGATGTTGTTGTCCAACAGACCACCACTACTACTACTCAGGCCAATAATCAACTGTTCCCGCCGTCTTCGCCGCCATCATCGTCGTCATCGGTCAAGTCTTCGGTTCATTCGGCCACTAACTGCGGCGGCGGTAACAACAAAGTAGACCATACGTCTCTGCACAGTCGTCGGCTGATGCAATCCCGATCCTGTCACGCCCTGTCCGAGGGTACGTCTATTGTCGAAAAAAATGCCAGAGTTATCAAATGGCTGTACAATTGTCGGAAAGCCATGTCGTGACACCACACATACCAAACCCCAAGTGTTTTAATTGTAATGAGTCGGGTGTTTATACAATGAGTTTATTACTATTATTATAAATATGATATATAAGTAAATGATTTATATATATATATATATATATAAATAATTTTTGGTGATATTTTCTATAGTATATAAATTATATATCAATATATTTTGTGGTTAAACTGTACAATACTGGGGGGGATGGGAGGGAGGGGGTCTCTCTCTCTCACTCTCTGGTGCTTAAACTAGTGGTACTTAACTAAACTAAACAAACGAAAGGATTAACACTGAAATGAAAGTATTTTTTTTTGTTTTATAAAAATAAATAACTATTTATTTTTAATTACTACTACTTTACTACTGATTATCGGGTAATTAAAAAAAAACTCTAGTTTTCGGTCTACATATATATATATATATTTATTGTCATGAATTTAATTTTATTACTATTATTATTATTTTTGATAAACACAACAAAAAAAACACTTGCAATCATAATACTAGTTTTGTTATAATTTTTTTTTAATAATTTAATTTAATTTTTTTCCGATTAATTTGTTGATAATTTTAATATTTTTTTGAATTAATTAATTTTACCTCACATTTTTCACTACTATTTACTATTATTATTATTATTACTTTTGCTTTTCCATATGATTTAATTACTATAAAAATATTTATATATAAAAATAATTATTATTATTACTATTTTTTTTAAATATTTAATTACATGGTTTTTTTATTTATATATATATTAAAAAAGTTAACTTTAAGCGATGCAATTTAATTTAAATTATTATTATTTTTTTATAGTTATCATGGTACAATAACAAGTTAATAGTTTTTTTTTAAATCTTTATATAAATATATAAATTATTATTATATATATGTGTGGTTTGTAATATCTAGAAAAATATCGTACAAATAATTATTATAATTATATAATTTTTTAAAAATTATTTTTTTCAAAAAAAAAAAATTAACATCATGTTTAATCAGGTGTGTTTTGTTATTATAAAAATAATTATTAATTTTTTTTAATATTATATATTTTAGATAATTTTTCTTATTATTTGTTTTTAAATAATTTAATAAACATTTATAATATATATGAGTGATATAACAAACAAACAAACAAAAAGTAACAAATAAAATGTGTGAACAAAAATTGTGTGTTTTTTATATATAGAAAAAAATATTGGCAACAAAAATATATATATAAAAAATAATATTAATTTATATAAACAAAATGTACATAAAAAATAAAATTGTTTTTTTAAAAGAAAATTTTAAAATTATTATTTATGTGTGTGTGTGTGTGTGGCATTTTGAAAATATTTTTATTTTTAATACTATATATATATATATAAATAAAAATTAATTAATTTAAAACATATAATATATATATATATAGTAATATTTATTAACATATAGTTGACAATTTTATTTTAATTTATTTTTATTTTATTTGTTTTTTTATTGGCAAAACTATGTCAAACATTTTTGCAAATATGGTTATTAATAAATTATTATTATTAAATTATAGACAAACTCGGATAATATGTTTATTATTTAACTACTTTATATAATTATATAGAAATTTATGTAAAGTAGTATATATAAAGTTATCATATATATAATTAATTATAAATTATAAAAAAAAATAATTGTTTATTATATTACTACTGTACTAATTCATATGTAATTTAATTACAGTAATATAAATACTCAAATTTAAATAATAATTATTAATTTACTGCTAACTAATCCTTGTACTAATAAAATCATGAATTTATTATTATATATTTATTTATTTTGATACATAAGTTACAAATACTCAATACAACAACAACAAGTATAGTAGAAAATAATTAATATTTATTGAAAACATATAAATAATTTATTTAAAAAAATAATTATTTATTAGATGATAAAATACTAATAATAATTATATAAATTAATAAAAGCATTGAATAAACAAACAAAACAAAAAATTTGTGAATTTGTATGAAAAAAAACTTTATTATTATTATTTATATACACCACTCATAATACTACAGTGATAGAGAGTGTAATATTTATTGWTTTTTTGGTGGGGGKGGGGTGGTGGGCCTAAATTGGCAATCGTTTAATTACTGGCACTAATAGATTATCCAATTTTCTRCCGAAACCTTCCAGACGGCCGGTATTGTTAACTGTTTGCGATTCGGGAACGGCATCTACTACTCCGCCAATAGTTCCGGTTATAGTCGATAATAGTCGAAAATCTTTATCTTTATCTGATCCAACCATTAGGACAACATTGACTGAGCCGATGATAATAATAAATGAAATTAAACTTAGTTTAATCATTTTTTGTTTAACATTTATATATATATAATTAAAACTAATTATTAAATCAAATAAAATCGATAAAATCCAAAGTGATTGTAGTTATATATATATATAATTTTTTTTGTAGGTTATATAACTCAACGTTTTTTTTCTATAAAAAATAGCCATTATTTTTTTATATACAGTATCATATAGGTATATTTGATTTAGCAACTAATTAATTAATTAAATATATATTAATTAAATTAAAATTTTATATATTAATTATTATATAAACAGCCCTCTGTTGAGTCGAAACAAATTTCAAAACAATTTTTTCTTTATATACATTTCTATATATATATATTTATAATAAATAATTTTTCAAACTATTTCAAATCAATTATATTAAATTTTTATAATTTTATTACAAAATATTTATTTATTTATATATATATAGAAATATATATATATTTATAAGACAGTATGTATGTATTATAACACTATTTGTAATTTAATTTTAATTAAAATGTTACAATATTTGTGATGTTGTTGTTGTTGAATAATCTTTTTTTTTTTTTAAAAAAAATTAAGTTAACGTAATTTAAATCATAAAATACATAGAATCTATAATTAGTAAATCATTTAATAATAATAATAATTAAATAATAATTAAGTAAGTATCGTATAATTATAATACAAAAAAATAATAATAATATAATTATTAGTTTTAATTACTGTTTTTTTTAGATGCATTCAGTACAACAACAACGAAAATTGGTTGAAAAATATAGTCTATATATAAATTAGCAAAAAAAATACTTCAATAATTTTAAATTAAATGAATATATAATAATATAAATAATAAATTAAAGCAGTAATAAATTGAAAATAGTTATCAATTTTCCACTCAATCAAAATTATATAGTAGGAGTTAAATCGTCAAATCGTAATAATAATAATAACTAAATTAATTAAAATAATAATAATTATTATTATTTTATAAAAAAACCACAGATTTTGCTAGACTTTCAATTGCTTTGGTACTAATCGTTGACATTAACAACAATAACAACAACAAAACTCAACTAAACTAAAGCTAATTATTATTTGTTAATTTTTTTTTCCAAAAACTAATTGTATAATTCATTATTAAAACCTATAGTTATATATTCAACAAACAAAACGAAATATTATTTTGAGGACTAGTGTACTAAACATTTTCTGTCCACACATTTTCAATATAATCAGAAAAAATTATTAAACGATAAAACAATTAAGTTTTCAATTACGGTACAGGTATTAGATAATTACCGGTAATTAATAGTAGTAGTAGTAATAATAATAATAGATACTTATATTAGGAATGGTAAGCACTGGTAAGTATAGGTACAGTATATATATATATATATATACAGTATAAGTAAATATAAATTTTTTTAAGACATAATTATTTGTTTTGTTGTAAATAATTATCATAGAAATAATTAAGAGATCCATTTCATCCAACTCATTGATTATTATTATTATTATTATTATAAAAGTATAGTACAATAAATTAATCAAATTGTTGTTTTTTAAATGTATAAACTATCAAACAATGATAGAGAGAGAGAGAGAGAGAGAGAGAGAGAGAGAGAGAGAGAGAGAGAGAGAGAGAGAAGAGAGAGAGGTGGAAGAAAAAAAGTGAGATTAATTTCAGTACTAATTATTAAATTACATTATATATAATAAAAAAAATTTCAATCAATCAAAAATCAAATCATTATATGATTTAGTTTTGTTTTTCTCTCAATTAATAATAAAAGTTATGATTATTTTTTTGTTTTAAAGCCACACAAAAACTCGGGGCTCTCAGAGATGTATTGTTTTCAGTAGAAGATTATTAGTGTGTATATCACGAAATGTCATCAATTAATCAAAAAATAAAAAATTAATGACATTTTTGTTTTGTTTCTGTTTTTTTTAAGAATCAGATCACTTGTTGTGAATCAGTACAGTATAAGTGGTCAGTTCACTACTGGACTACTGGTGCCGCTGCTGTTGTTGTATATGTTGTCTACGACTACTACCACTGCTGCGAATAATTTGCGGACGATGATCGGCGCCAACAGCGGTACCGATTGTCCTATAGTTTGCGGCGGCTGCAGAAGACACGTATTCGGCATCGACTGATATATCGGTGTCACCGCCAGCGCCGCCACCAGAATCAGTATACATTTCTTCGTCGTCTAAAGTATTTACTTTGAAAAACTTGTCGTCTTCGGGAGCCGAATACGGTGTCTCACTGTAGTCAAACAACTGGCCCAACACTATGTTCAGTGCTGATGTATCGTAATGATGACAACCGCTGTACCGATACAATGGTTTCTTATCGAATCGACAGCCGCTAGCCTGCGATCCGATTGGCGCAATACACTCGGGTGTTAGCGTACACCTGATCCACGGTAGCATAAGTTGCTTATGGATTCGGCCAGTATTGTACAGTAGTATGTGTGACGGTTTGACCATTCGATGAAAATAGTATTCATTTTGCACTGTCTTGAAGTAGTCAAACATTTTTGGATGAGTTAGACTAGAAGTCGGCTGTTCAATAGTCCACGATAGGACACCACCCGACTGGCGGGCCCTCGTGGCTAATGAATTGACTTTTTCTACGGCCGATGGAAGCAACAAATAGTTTGGATCCAACCAGAAAGCGGCACCAAATTCGGCCAATACTAACTGCAAGATTATCGGCCGATAGGCGTGCAGTTTATGGTCGTAGACGTGCGGCGGAAATAAGTCGTATTCAAATCGGCGTATTGTACACCAATTGTTTAGTTGACCACCACTACCACCGGCGATACTGTTATTATTGTTGCTATTTGTGTTGTGACCAGTAGTCGTTGTTGTCGTCGTCGTCGACGTTGTCGTTATCGGTGTTGACGCCGATGACGACATCGATGACGGTATTGTCATAATAATATCACTTGATTTGCTGAGATTCTGGGTTTGCGTTTCATTGCAAATACTGCTTATCTGTTTACAAAAAAAACAACAACAAAATTCATTGAAAAACCATTGGATCTATTATGAAGTGATTGACTAACTAATCAATCAATCAGTTTGATGGACAAACAGACAGACAGCCAGACATACCTTATTGAACTGTCGCTGACTGAGTCCCAGATCGTAGACAATAAGCGTATAGTTGGTGTTAAGGCCTGCGATAAACTCATTTTGAAAAGACTTCAGAAAACCGATGGCCAGATCTGATTGTTCGCCAGTAACGGCGGTAACAAATACGGGTTGAACGCTAGTAGTAGTGGTGGTGATCACTGACTGGCTTTTGTCGTCGACAATAACTTCGGTACCGTTACGGTCGCCAATTAGTCCCAATGTTCGCAAATATTGACGACACTTGCGTTCGCTTTCTTCGCCGCTGGCGTTGTTCGGTTCGGCGGCGGCACTACCGGCGCCCGGATTGTAGTTATGATTGTTGTTGAATATGAAGATATTGTTAATAGATTTGATCGACTGATCCCGTATGACGACGCCTTTCCATTGGGATAGTTGTCGATTAATCGAGTCCAATGTTGCCGACCGGTGGCGGCCGTCGGAGGCCACCAGCAAACAGTATAGTACTGTTGTAACGCCGATGGACACCACACACAACAATAGATGTTTATATCGCATCGTTGACGACGGCGGCGATTGCGGCGGCGATGGTGGCCATCGAGTGTATACTATCTGTCTCTGTAGTTGTTGTTGTTGTTGTCCACTACTATCCGAACCGACAACAACTTCGGCTATAATATATTGGCCACCGATTGCTGCTATGATATTGTTTGCGGCGATTATTATTCATTAGACGTTCAAAAAAAACATATAATAAAACATACAATCAATACATACAATGACTGCACACTTATTAATGCATTGCTTGCTATAAATGGGTTGAAAACACTAATGTTTGAAATAAAATACAGTAATGTTACGTACTATATATATATAGGCAACAATTGGCTAACTATAAAAAGTCATTGATTATCTAATAGAAATCTATATACAAGTTTAGTACTTTTTCATATAGAACTATATGGACTATTATTTTATTATTGCATACAGTTTATATACATTTTGTATTAGTGTTTTGAATGAATCGCGCAATTAATTGTACGAACCGAACATTTGGGACTATTTTATATATACATTATATACTGTATATATAAATATACCGACTAAAATACACTAGAGGTCTCATTTTAGAACTAGAGGTATATAATTTACATTTAATATTTATGGTAATTAAATATTCGTCAACTTTTTTGTGCAATAAATATGATAACAAAAACAATTACCATAAATATTAAATGTAAATTAATGCCCAGAGGACTCTTCTAAAATGTAATATAATAATAATAATGAGTGTAATACTCTGTAATATAATAATAATATGTATTAATAAAAAAAAAACATAAAATAAAATATAAAATAATAAATTAAAAAACATAGCAATAGTTTGGTTTTTCATTCATTCATTCAATACATTCATTACATTCACTCAACAATACAAACAACAAAACAGTCAATCATTTAATTAATATAAATAAGTCATTCATTGAATTAGTTTTTATTTTAAAAATATTTATTATTTTTTTCAATCAATTGTCACTACAATTGATAAAACATTTTAAACCAAACGAAACCAAACAACAAATAAAAAGCCGTTATTTTTTCGGCGGCCGTCAATTGTTGGCCACTCGCTCTCTCTMTCTCTATCTCTATATCTCTCCACGGCTATTGTGAGGACACAAAAATTTTAAACTCGGTATTTATGATATGTTGTTATTGTTGTCGGTTTTAATGGCCACTAAATAACTGTCAATTGTGTCTCACAGCTCCCGAAAGTCCAAACCAATTGCCAATTGATATCCTTCTCCACCCGCGCGCGCGGGACACCCGATATATATATATTCCTATATATATATATCTCAGTCTACGGGTGGTGGTAGTGGTGTTGGCCATATCTACCCGATTGATCGGTTCGCGAACAACAAGTCTATATCGTATCTCAGATGAAGCCGTTGTCGTCCAATCTGGTCGCTAATAGTCCGCACAGTCTACTACACCAGTGTGTCGAGTATGTGGTCAGAGAGGCGGTCGACCTGCGAGGCGTTTCACTGCCCAAAGAGATATGTGATCTACTTATACAAGTAAGTGTGTGTGTGTGTGTGTGTGGTCACTGACCACTACCGCCGCCACCCTATCTATGGTGGCCATTAGTCAGCGTTCAAAAAAATAATCTGTTTTTTCATTTTGATGGACAGGTCTATCGGGAGACGCATCTCAATACCGACAGTGTCGGCGATTCGTTTGCCAAATTTTTATCGCAATTTCGTTCAAACAATAGCCGCATAAGTGTGGCCAAGTTTGCCGATATGGCCATTACTGATGAAACATTGGAGGCATTCTTGGAGGAACACTCCAAGACTATTACCCATTTGGATATATCCAACTGTTCCGATCTGACGGCCAATGCTTTGCACTATATTAACAAAATACTAACCCGAGTAACTGATCCGCGAAAACTGATCCGTACGGTTAGGGTCATCGAAGAAGGGCCCGTCCAAGAGAGTCGCGTACTGTACACTAAACGCTATCAAAACGGTGTCATCACAACTGTCCGAGAAAATTGTCGAGTCGACGAAAATGTCGGTATTATTACCGATGACTATGACCTAACGCAGGCAATGGGCATCTTTGACGATACAGATTTTGCCGATTTCAAGGCCCGTAAACTTCGGGACCTGAACGGTATCCGGTGTATCGACTTTGATCTTAACGATTGCGATGAACCCATGAACGTTGACTATGATCTAAAATCCACTGGTCAGCATCAGCAGCAGCCACTGCCGTCGCTGACACCAAATCGTCGGTCGCCGCCATTGTTGTTGTTGAGTCGTCGTCACCATAACAAAGATTGTTACGACAACTATAGACAACTGGAAGTATTTTCCAAGAATATAGCCGACAATCGGGTAAAGACATTGGAGATCAAGACCTGGCAGAATACGCCGCTACAGTCGCTGATTATTGGCCGCTCGACACATATATTACCCGATTATATTGAGGAGGACGGTCTCGACGATGAGGTAGTAGTAGTAGTAGTAGTACTGCAACTGATGAACAAATAATAAAATTCGGGAAATCAATTGGTGACTAATAATTATTTTTTTATTATTATTGTTTTTTTAAGGAGTTCTCCACACAGAGTCACCTAATTAATCCATTACTACCTATTCGTAAACTAGTGATACACGAGTGGACATTCGTTGATTCGTCCACTCCTTATCTAAAGTATTTAATTAATTCACAGATGAAACAAACCCTACAGCACTTGGATCTGAGGTAATGCTCAACTAAACTAAACTAATTTGATTGGTGGTATGATTTGGTTGTAATTTTTTGTTTGTTTGATTAATTAATAAAACAATTTAGCAATGGCTGTGCCATTGATGACGGAGCGCCACTCGCCGAACTTAAGTCGTTAAAAACGTTGATACTATATAACTGCCCTAAACTACATCACGCCATCAACAATATCATTAAAATTAAGACATTGAGGTATTATTGTGTGGTATTGTTTTGTTTTTGGTGTTGTTTTTGTGTTAATTTATTTTTTTTTTAATTATTTTTTCAAAATTTTTATATAGATTTTTAGATATTTCGTCGACAAATGATCGCTACGGTCACGGATATAAAGATCCGAACAAACAGTTAGCACTAATTGTACAGTCGCTGCCAGAGTTGACCAGATTTGACATTTCGGGTACCAATTTGGCCGGTCCTCGTGAGTAACAATTTTTTAAAAATAAATATTTTTTTATGAATTCTGAGAATTTCTATTTTTTGTCATTTACCGTAAACTATTGGGTATTATCAACAACTACTACAACAACAAATAGGTTACGATTATATACCCGGATTAATATCCCGACACAACAATCCATTCGAGTACTTAGGACTGTATAATACGGCCAATGAGGCGGCCTATCGGCGAACAATACCAGCGATTTCGGTAATGGTTTTTATTTATAACCGATTAACAATAAAAATAGATAACAGTATATATATTTGTGTGGTATTTGTTTGGTTAGGTATCGGGTGACGCCACCGAAGAGCAGATACTTACCGGATGTGAGGTCTATATCGATAGAGTCGAGTTCTTGAGGCGAACGCTCAATGATCTGTTCCATTGTTTTCGATTAGAGGTTTTTCTCCATTTTTTTTTGATGATATTTTATGGTAAACTTTTATTTACTGATAATAATTATTTTGTAGACAAACTTTCATAACATTAATCGTGCCCTCGATATCGTATTGGAGTCAATGGCCAGACATTTGCACGAAAAACAGATACAGATTGCGGCCTCGGCTTCACTATTCTATATTGTTAAGTCAGATGAGGCCAAACATAACTTCAATATTAAAGTCAAACAATTGATTATAACGAGACTATTGGACGCCATGCAAGAGCACCGATACGACATAACTGTACGAAACCTATTGATTTGATAGTAATTTCTTATTGTTGTTTGCAATAATTATTTAATTATCTATTTTTTTATTTAAAATTTTTTTTAATACAATTGAATATATAGATGCTGAGGAACGGTAGCTTAACTTTGATACATTTTAAAATACCTGGCGATGTTGTAAGTATCTTAACAATAGGTTACTTATATACAGTTTATATATATATATATAGAAATTTATTAATAATTATAATTATTATTGTTTTTTTTGTTGTCTTAATTATGTCTAATTATTGAAGATTTTTGAATACTCAAGACTAGTGGAAATACTATTACGAATTGTTACCAATGATGACGACGACTTTATCCAAAGATTAGGTTTGTTTTATTATTGTTGTCGTTGTTGTAATTATATATATATTTAACTGACTGTTTTTTGTTGCTATATATATAGGCATATACCTATTGAACACACTGGCCTGTCAAGTGGACGGTGACCAGAAAACCATAGTCGGCGATTTGGGTGCAATCGATAAAATGCTTGCACTAATCGATGCACGACTACATCGAAATATATGCGATGAAGTAATGGAAACAGCGTGGAGTACTATGTGGAATGTAACCGGTATGTCTTTCATCCACCCTTACCCCACCYACTCACCCCCTACCTACCTATCTACCAGTTCTCCACTCTTAAAAATAAAAATACCACTTTTTTCACAAATAGATGAAACACCAGTTAATTGCCAACGTTTTCTCGACAATAATGGCATGGATTACTTTGTTTCGTGTATGCATTCATTTCCCAATAGCGCCGGTATGTTATTATTATTATTATGAGTTTGTTGTTGTTGTTTGGATCTAATAGTGTGATTCATTATCTCCCTCTCCTACCATAGAATTGTTGCGCAATATGATGGGTCTCTTAGGAAATGTAGCCGAATGTTCGCATCTCAGACATCGACTAATGAAATCCGATTATATCATGAGGTTTGTTGAACTATTGGACAGCGAAAGCGATGGCATAGAAGTCAGCTATAATGCCGCCGGAATACTGTCTCATATCGGTTAGTTTCGGGGGGTGTCTGTCCCCGTAAAAAATAAATGGTCTCTCAATATGTATAATATTATTTTTTATTTTTTATAGCATCCGACGGTTCACATTATTGGCAACAATATCTGCCCTATGATTGTAAACGAGAGTATATGTTAAATCGTTTGAGTGCAGCCATCAGACGCTGGAAGATCAACTCCAAGAGAAATATCAACTACAGGTGCTGTACAATTGTTTAGTGTTATTATATATATATATATATGTAGATATTGTATTAAATTTTTTTATGATATGTATGTATAGATCATTTGAGCCAATTTTGCGTCTATTGAGAAGCAATATACCATCTGAAGCCCAATATTGGGCGGTCTGGGCGTTGGCCAACTTGACCCGTGTTTACAGTAAACAAAAAAGACAATTTCAAATTTTTTTGTCGATTATTTGTTTCAATTGTTTTTATTTATAAATATCTTTTTTTAGGCTCCAAATACTGTCCACTGCTTAAAGAGGATAACGGAATAGAAGTATTGGAACAGTTGGCCCAAAACGAGTCGTCATCTATTCCTCAGCATATAAGACATTTATCGTCTCTGACACTCTACCAGTATTGCAAATATACCGATTCGGGTGAACTAACCGAACTCGAAACAAGCGAAGACATTGATATACCGATGGATTTTCTAGTAAACTATTCGCATAATAAACACAATCAGTTGACAACAACAACAACACCATCAGCAACAACAACATCAACGACGACGACGACAACACCTATTGGTAATGCCATTCAACCCTAACTACAGTATAACCCAAACCAAACAAAACAAAACCAAAAAACAACTGATTATTGATGTTATTATCTAATGAAGATTACACAAACACACACAACTGTCCCCAATATTGGGAATACATATATAATATATATAAAACAAACAAAAAAATTCCTCAATTATTTTAATGAAATTTTTTTTAACAAAAAATTATTGTTTTTAACTATTGTATAAAAAAATGATTATTTTATGTCGCTTTTAAAAAAAAAACAAATACCAAAAGCAATCACAAACACTATTGTTTTTATTTATTTATATAAAATGTTTTTATTAATATTATTATTAAAAATCACCTGTAATTATTAATTGTACAGTAATAATTAATTTATATAAATCAAATGTGTATCTAGATTTTAGTGTACATACAGTATACCACACTATTTACTGAACACACACTTACACACACACACACACACAACACACAAACAAACAATTTAGTTAATAATAATAATAATAATGATTATTATAATTATAATATTGTAATTTGTTGTTAAATGTAAATATTTTTTTTTAAAAAAAAGAAAACAAAAAATTTTATGAAATATTTATCGTTGGTTGACTCAAAATAAAAATAGATTTATTCAATCATTATTTTAAAAAAAGTAAATTTTAAATCAAAATTTTTTAAATACTGTATACCCATCACAATGATATTGATATTAGTTTTTTAAAATCAGTTATAAACATGTTATGCCCAGAAAATTATAATATTACTAATTAAAAAAAATTAACTTAATTTTTTTTAGTTTGAATTTACAAAATTGTTTGTAATCTATTTGTATAAACAATAATTATTGGGTAATATTTTAGCAAAAAAAAAATAAATACAGTAGAAAATTATAGTTACATATCTATATGAAAAAAAACATTCACCAAATAATACCAGTTTTTTTTCATTAAAAATTATTTGCACACAACTTTCCACTGATTTTTTAATTTTGTTGGTTAGATAATGGGTAAACAATAAAAGCAATTTATAACTTATTTATTATACAATATATAACATATCATATATATATATATATATATATATCTAAAAATCACAAGTTTCAACAAAATTATACCAGAGTTTTTTTCAAAACCAATTAACCTTGGTGTTGTTTTAATAGCACTTATATGTTATTTTTTATGTGTATTTAAAAGATAACTGAGCGCTTATATAGAGAATAGTTGAAATATTGAATAGTTTTTTGTTGATATATATCACACACCAGTCATTATTTGTCACCAAAAGTTTTTTATTATTATTATTATTATTATTTTATAGTCAGTCAACTCGTGATTAGTCGCACGTAGACATCCGTTAAATAATTAAAAAAAAAGTTTGTTTCGGGTGCTATTTCTAGATATAATTTATTGTTTTAGTTGGGTAACAATATTTTTTTGTGTGCCGGATAAATTCAATTGGTTGGTATGTATTTTTTCTTTTAAAAAATTTAATTTAATCTAGCTAAATTACATACTATAGTTGTTAGTAACAATATTCAATTATTTAATTGAAACAACTTATAATTGATTAATTCAATTAATTATTATATACAAGATTGAAAAAAAAAATTATTGCTTTAATATATAATTTAAAATATTATTAATTTGATTTAATGTAATTATATATTGATTATTACTAATCCCATTATTAACTATAGTTATCTATTTGTATAGATTTATTAAATATATATTTAAAGCAATTAGATTATAGTAACTTATAAAAAAACAAAATTATATTTAGTGATGTGATAGTGATATTTAGATGATTTTCAATTATCTAACTAACTAATAATATTTAAAAATCTATTATATATATTAATATAAATTAATTAAATTGAATTTTTATTTTATTTAATACACAATAATATTAATGTCACTCAACTTGTATATTGTTTTAACAATAATTGTAGTTATTATCGTATATAACCTATAGTTACAATCTCCTAACTATTTAGTTACCACTTGATAATTGTTAGATTATTATTTAATATGATAATACCCATATAAAATTGTATAACACTGTACAATACAATACAATATAAATTATATAATTATAAGTATATTCAATAATAATAATAATTATTATTATTATTATAACATATAATAATAATATATATAAATATCAAAAAAATTTAGAGAATATTCTAATAAAAATTGTTAACATCTGTTATTAATGCAAACATTATATACAATAAAACAATTTTATTATTAAAATTATAATTAAAATTATATATATATATAATATTTATAATATAAAAAAACAATAATTTAGCCAATTTTATAATATTATTTTATATAAAATAAAAAAAAATAGAAAATTTAATTTCAATTAGACTATGCAACTAATAATTGAGAAAATAATAATAATAATAATACTAAAATAGACCTTGTACCAAAAAAACTTTAATTAAATTTTATACTATAAATCTAATCTTATAAAATATCTTATATAAATACAGTAGATATCATATAATATTTGTTTGTTTTTTGATAATAGTTTTTTTTATTAAAAAAAACTGGTACCGACACACATATACATATTCAAGCCATCACCAGTACCACCACCAACAACAACACCACTACACCAACCATCATGAGCTACAATCAGCCATTACTGAAACAAGTGCTAACCGGCCTCAAGAAAAACTACGGCGTTTGGCCAGTGATTGCGTTTGCCTTCGGGTTTGCACCGTTGCTCATAGCCGTCCAGTCCTATCATCAGGTGAACGGTCCGGACACCCGATTTGGCCGCGATTTTGAACCGTGGAATCGATTCGATAATAAACAATGGAAATATGTCAACAGTGCCAGCCATGACTACACTGAACAGCACCCGCGGCCACGTTATGACCAATAAATTTGCGGACGATTTATTGATTTTGATTTAATACCCGTAATAATAGTAATAATAATAATAATAATTCAATTAAAAAATTAATTGATTGTAAACCTATATATATATATTTGACAATTAATTAATTAATAAAAAACTTATTTATTTTATTATAACTAAAGTTATGATTAGATAATAATTTTTTTCTCTCTCTCTATTTATTGACGATACTCTTAACAGCAAAAAAATTAATTAATTAATTTAATTACTGTAAAAAAATGCTGTCTTAAATTTTCTAAAAAAAAAATATTATTAAAACAATTAATATATTGTATCTGTAAATCTTTATTTGCCAATTATTTTTGTTTGTTTTTAAAAAGATTATGAATTAATTAATTAATTAAATTAGAAATTTGAAAAAATAATTTTTTAAAAATAACTTGAGATTACAAACAAAAATTAAATAAATAAAATTAGTTTCATTTATAATAATCTTATCAATTGGTAACTTAATAATGTATACAACAAAAAAAACTATAAGTAAAAATCTAGTTATAATTTTTAAAAAAATTGTTGAAACATTTATTTTAGCATGCATATTTTTCTAAAATAAATAAAATATAATAAAAAAATTATATTTCATAAAATAAATTACGTTCAAAACTTTTTTGTTTTTTGAAAACTTATTTTTAATATAAGGATCGATTCACACACTACGTTCCCACTATTCAAGAAATCTAGACCCCCTCCCTCCACTATGTTTGCAATTGTTTTCATGTAGTCCTTAACCGCTAACCCCCTCCCCCACCATCACCATAAGAAATAATATAATATCTTAATGCGAACGTACTTAAAGTCTCTACCCCCTACCCGTCCCCCCTCGTTCGCAAAATAGTTGCTTTAGCCAACCACCCCACCCCTTCTATCAAGTGCTAACGTAATATGCGAACTACCCTCTAAATGTATAAATTTTATAAACTTTATATTAAATTAATACTGTATTATAAAGTACTGTATAAATAAAATATTACAATTCAAGGACACATACACTTACAATAGTTACATACTGTGCTATGTTATCATATAGTTTAATGTCTATACTCTCTATAGTATAGAGTCTATACATACAAAAAAAATAACTCATACTTGAAGTGTGTTTTCATAACTACTTTATATTATTATTATTATTAATACAAACATGTGTTCAATGTTTACAATGTTTTGTCAAACGTTTTTCTGACCATTTTGTATGTCCGCTACCGATGTCCACACCGTTTATCATTACCAGTACTAAACTGTGTCCACTCCAGTGTTGACTTGTATTCTCCACCCGATTATGACTGACGACGACGTCAAGTGTGCAAAGTGTCGACACATACTGTTCGCCGATAGCCTACTGGTCACGAGTCACGGCGTTGTTGTTGCCGATGATATGAACAACTCGGGTGGTGGTGGTGGCCATCATAATAATCAGTGTAGCGATTATCGGTCAAACACTGTCTGCTATGTTACCGAACACTCGATGAACGACTGGATGCGCCAACAGATCGATTCGGGCGACTGGACTAAAGGCCGACTTCAGTGTCCGAACCACAAGTGTTCGGCCCGTATCGGTTCCTATGATTTTATTACCGGCCAAAAGTGTCGCTGCGGTCGACACGCTCTACCAAACATTCAGTTTAGCCGATCGCGTATCGACCGGCCATTGCCGTTAAACAATATCAATAACAGTAGTGGACAGTTGGCCGCCGCCGCCACCACCGCTGCTGCAGTAGTTGTAACGTCGGCACCGCCGCAGCCCCCGACGGGTCTATGAGTGGCCGACGACTACACACTATATCGTTGTATATGACGTTACTGTAAAATACTGTGAAAAAAATATATAATGAATAAACAAATTAATAATAATTATAATAATAATTAAATGATTAATTAAATTCACGATATTTATAATTTTTATTTTTTTATTGTTTGAATTAATCTAATTTGAAATTATAATTTATGTTACTTTTATTTCGATAAAATAAAACTAATTTGTGTCTAATATCTGGTTAAATATAATTTTGTATATTATTTCATACATAAAAAAAAGATTGATTTTGATTTTGATTACACCAACAGTTTCATCGATGACCACAATGAATGCTATTTGTCTAATAGGTATTTATATATATATATATATATCATATATACTATACTAATACTCATACAATTGAGAGACAATCAATTGAATTAATAAATAAAATATACTTTTTTTTATTTGACAGCACTGTTAGTGTCGATCATCGCACAGGTAGTCCTAGTCGTCGTTGAGTCCAAAGATTTCTGTAATGAATACAAAAGAAACGGACATAAAATTGATTTCGCTTATCGTATGATTGAATTCGAAGGCAAGTTCTTCTTCATCGGTAACACCTACTGGAAGTTGCAGTTCATTGACGGTCCCGACGACAACAAAACAGTTACCATTAATAACGAAAGTGACGGCGAATCCAACTTTATCTCCGGTGACAACTACTCTATGGTTTGGTGTAATTGGTATCTGAAAGATGCAAAACCAACGATTGATGGCGTAAACTACGATCACTGTCGTGTCGCCGGACTAAAGGTATTATTAAAAAACAACAAAAAAAACGAAACTAAAACTGTAATCATTTTTAGTATTTATAATAATAATCAATCAATTAATTGATGAAAATCTAATATTTATTTAATAGAAAAATTTGAAAACTATTGATTGGGCCGTTGTTTCCAATGTTAGCCTTAGTCTTATGCAGACATTAGATTCAACAAACATTAAATTTGAGGACAACTTTAAACCCCTGTTTGCTTGGCTACCGGAGTCCCATCGAAAGCAAGAACGGTTGGCGACATTTTGGTCTAATAACCAGACAATTGTCTATAATTTTTATGATCCAAACAATCCGGTAAAAGGGATACCGAGTATAGTAGATAAAGATGAGCAAAGATTGATTATTAACGGCACAAATGAGAGAAAATTGAACATTCAATTGATGACAATTGTTGCTCAGTATAGTGAATATGATAATAATGGTGTTCAAAAGAGCATTAATGGCCATGGATCTATTGTATTTACCAATGAAAACCAGATCATCCGATACTGTTATGTGGGACAACCATTCAATGAGACGGCCGTATGTTGTTTGCATTATATATATGACTAAAACTGATTTTTAAAATTTAACATTTAATTTGCCAATCAATGTATGAATTTTATTATTATCTTCAGTGCAAACCATCAAACATGAAGACACTGATCGACTGCTCTTTGGACACAAAACCCAGTTCATCGAAGACAATGATTATGATAATACTTTTTATCGTTATCGTAGTTTTGGTGATCTTTATTGTCGGACTAATTATATTAGTTCGCAATTATGTTGGACAGGGAGGAGAAGGACAGAGTGGTTAGATTTTTTTTCAATCTATTATTATTTTAAATACTAATAATGTCTTTTAATTTTTATTTAATATTTTAATTGATTTGATGGATCATTCAGTATCGGCAATATCTAATGTACCCAACAGTAAGCAGAAGTCGACCCGATCGGCAATGAATAAGTCAACTAAAGGCTCGAAAGCGATCAGTCCATCGAAAACTGGCGGTTCAACTGATCCGACAAAATCTCCATCAAAACCAAAGACACCAAAAGCCAAATGATTTTCTGTTTTTTTATTTTTTTCTTATTTTGTTTTGAGTTTTGACTTTATTTTAGTAAATAATTTATTTAGTTTTGTTATTATTTTGCTGCAAATAGATTATCAACTCTACTGTATATTCAAATTTAAATTGTGTTTTATTATATAAATTAAAAAAGTATTATTAAATATTTATTATTATTTTTTTTTTGAATATTATATCTCTATTTACTCTATCATTTATTCCCTAATTAAATACAGTGTATTAAATATATATATTTTTTATAAATTAGTAAATTGTTTTATCATAAATTATGAATCTCATTATAGGCACGCGATTATTATTATTTCTATATAATTACTATATTTATTTAAATTTTTTTTTTGTTTTTAGCAGTTTTTCCTAAAACAACCAATTGATCCATTGTTTTTGTTAAGTCATAATAGATCCACAAAAAAACAGTATCTTTTATATATACATATGTATAAGCCATCGATATATTTCATTGATGATAAATATTTGTCAGATTAATATGTGTAATAATTAATAATTAAAAATTAAAAAAAAACAATTATGTTTATAATAAATAGTTGATGAAAACAATACTTAATACATAATATCATATATTGTGTGCAAACAATTGCCATTAATTTTTTAGAATCTCTTTTAATTATTGACTTTAATGATAGCGAGATTTTATTATACTTTATATAAATATCTTTTATTTTTGAATATATAATTTTTTTTTTGGTTGAAATATTTGAAAACCTATTGATAATAGAAATTTGTTGTAAAATTTGTTAAATAATTTTCATAGCCATCGATGACATGTCTATATCATCGTTGAATGTCAACATTTGTCTGATCGGTAATTATATAATTGGCAATCAATTTGATTAATAAAAAATAAATTAAATCTTTGATTAATCTTTTATTTGTTGACCAGCAATGATGTTAGTATTGCTGGTCATCATTATCGGTGAATCTAAAGATTTTTGTCGAGAATTTCTGAATAATGGCCACAAAATTGATTTCGCCTTTCGTTATATCGAAAGCCGACATAATGTCGATACAGAGTATCGGAAATACTTTTTCATTGGTAACACCTATTGGAAGTTGACATACATTGACGGCACGGATAAGACAGTTACCATTGATGACGAAAGTACCGGTCAGTCGGACTGGTTGTCCGGTAAGAACTATTCGATGGTCTGGTGTTTCTGGTTTTTGGCCGATCATTCTCCACGCGTACCCGGTGTACACAATGAACACTGTCGGGTGGCCGCAGTAAAGGTATGTAAGCTACCTCCACATCCCCACCCTCCACCCCACCACCCCATCCAGCAAACCAACAAAATTAAAAAATGAAACAAATGTAGATTATAGACAGCCAGTAGAAAATTATTTGCCCCAAACCCACCCTCACCCACCCAACCACTTCCTAACCTCACACTCAGCCCAAACTAACGGTAACTAAATAATAACTAACATTTTATATATGTATAACTGCATAAAAATAATTAATTTTTTTGATGACTGTCTATATAACATACATTTAAGCCTGAAAAAAATAATTATGTAATCAATTAGATATAATAATAATAGTAATAAATTAATTAACACTTTTATTTTGTTTAACTGTTAATACAATATAAAATAGAAAAATTTGAAAACCATTGATTGGGGAGTTTTAACCGGCACTGACCTAATGCTCAAAGGGACTGGCAATTCAACTAATATAAGATTTGATTTGGACTTTAAGCCTACATTTGTTTGGCATTCAGTGGTACTTCAATTTAATAATTACCGGTTCGCAACTTTCTGGTCTAACGGTGCGCCGATAACTGAGGAGAAAACCAAAGTCTATAATTTTGTTGTTATAGAGACACCGGCAAATAAACATATACCCCGGTTCATCAATAAGACAGGTAGAAACATAATTACCGGCAAAATTGAACAACAATTGGACATTGAATTGATTGGTATTGTCGGCCAGTTTAGTACATATGATTATAATTATGGCACTCTAGAGACTGGTTTCAATGGACAGGGATCTATTGTTTTTACCAATGTTAACGATATTATTAAATACTGTTATGTGGGACAACCATTCAATGAGACGGCTGTATGTTTTTTTTAATGCAAAATAATAGTAATTTTTTTTTTATAAAATTTAACATTTAATGTGTTTTTTTTGTCAATCTTTGTTGTCGTTCAGTGCAAACCCGAGCACATGAAGACACTAATCAATTGTTTAGTGAAACCGAGTTTATCGGTGACAATGATTATCATTAAAATACTTGTTGTCGTTGCCGTACTATTGATGATCAGTATTGTCGGACTAATTATATTAATTAACAAATATGTTAGACATGGAGGACGAGGACGAAGACAGTCAGGTATTATATACAACAACAACAAAAATTATTAACAATTAGAAACTATAATAATAATAGTTTTATCGTAAATAATAATCTAATTAATTATTGTTTAATATTTAAATCTATTGTTTTTTATTTTGATATTTTATTTAATTATAAAAAAAAATTCATTGATATCTCATCAGTATCTGGTCTGCAATCGTCCCGACCGGCGATGTCTAAGCAAACCAAGCAGTCTATTGTTGTTTTGGCAAATCCTTAATCCAATGACATCTAAATAATTTGTTTATTATTAATGAGAAAATTTTTTTTTAATATGATTTGTATTTTTGTTTTCATTGTTGTTGTGTAAATTGAATGTGTCTATAGTATACTGTATAATAAAAAATTATTTGAATTATTAAATAAATATTATAGGCACGCAATTATTATTTCTACAGTATATTTAAATATTTAAATTGTTGTTGTTTTTGCTGTTTTTATTTATTATTTTACTAGTTTGTCCCGAGCAACATGTATAGAACGTGTAAAGAAACAAAAATTTGAAATCAAAAAAATTATTTAAATTTCGCGTTCAATAATATAATTTAAATGTTTTTTTTTCTTTACACGTGCAACAATAATAAAATTAAAAAACTAACTGTTTAATTAACAATACTTTTTATTTAACCGTTATTTTAATTTTAATCATTTTTAATTGTTGTAACGCGCAAAAGTGTGACCAAGATATAAATATATAAACATTTCCAAATTATATAGTAGTATAGATTTATTAGTATATATTTTTTAAAACCACAGAAAAACAATATCTTTTATATAGATATATACTGTATTTGATATACAGTATATATACCAACGATATACTTCATCGACAATATGAAAGGTATTGTTTGTCTGATCGGTATTTATTATAACAACTTTAAAATTACATATAATTTATATATCAATATAAAACTGTTGGTTTAAAAAAAATTGATAGCACTGTTGGTATTGGTGTTGACTATGATATCGGTTGTCATCATTGAGTCGAAATTATTTTGTAAAGAATACAAGAAAAATGATAACAAAATTGATTTCGCGTTTCGTTATTATATAAGCAATAATATTAATAAACTAACCAAAGAGTATCGCAAATACTTCTTCATAGGTAACACCTACTGGAAGCTGACATACATTGACGGTAAAGATAAGATAGTTATCATTGATGACGAAAGTGCCGGTCAGTCTAACTGGTTGTCTGGCCATAAATATTCAATGGCCTGGTCTCAGGATTTTGACGACATCAGTCAGATCGGTGCTTTACAGGTATGTATTGGTTTGAACTTTAACCCAAAGCAGTCAAATATAGATATTAATTTGGTTTTTAAAATAGAAAAATATGAAATCAATTAGTTGGGTAGGACTGTTGGATGATAGCATGAATTTAACAAAATCAGTCAATTTGACCGATTGGACAATCAATTTTACAAATAGCTTTCAACCTATATTTGCATGGATACCGATACCATTGAACTTAAAAAAAGATTATTTGCTAACATTTTGGGATAACAAAGCTATGACCCAAACCTATGACATTAGAAAAATTCATAGTCTATCAAATATAACCAATGTTAGAGATGAGGAATTGGCTATAATAACTGGGGAACGGGAGAAACAAGTGAACAAACTAACTAAATTGATGGCAATTATGGCACAATATAGTCATTATGATTCCGATAATAATCCTAAACAAACTTATTTGAGTGGTCAGGGATCTCTAGTATTCATGTATGTCGACACTGCCATCAAATACTGTTATGTGGGAATACCATTCAATGAGATGGCTGTTAGTTAATTTGTTATATAAAATTAGATACAATTTTCTAAATATATTTATTTTATTTTTTAAAATTTTTGATTTTTTTTTTGGTTTAATATAATTTTCAGTGCAAATCGGATAACTTGAAGACATTGATTGATTGTTCGCCAACTAAAAGTTATTTATTGTTTACTCTTATAGTGATTGTCATCGGTTTTGTAATATTTATCCTAATTATTGGTTTTGTCTGTTATTTGTGTTGTAGTCATCATAGACATGGACAGAGAGGTACAGTATATTATTAATGATTTAAAACTATAAACTGTTATTAATTATATTTATTATCTCCAATATTTCTGTAGATACAGAAATATCATCAAACAGATCGACAAACAAATCATCAAACAGATCATCAAACAGATCATCAAACAGATCATCAAACAAATCGATAAACAAGTCGTCAATGTTTTCGATTATGTTAGGCACCGGTAGAGACAAAAAGTTGGCTACGAGTCCATCAAAAACCAATAATAAATCAATGGTATCAACAAAACCCCAGTCAATAGCTCCGACATCTAAACATAAATGATTTTTAATTAATTTTTTTTTATTTGTATTGTATTCAAGTATTTAATAGTTATCTTAATAATATTATGAATTATTATTTTTGTTTATTTGTTTTAAATTTATTATTTGAATAATTATTAGTTTAACTTTATATACTGGTATATATTTTTGTTATTTACTAAATTATACACTATATTAATGTGCATTTCTTAAACATAGCTATAAAAATGTTATTATAATATATTATATGCAATAAATATAAGATAGAAATAGAAAATAAATATATAATTTAAATGATAAAACAATTTTTAATTTATAAATATATATACAGTAGAGTTGAACATTCAATATACACACACAAATCAAATACAAATCAAATAAATTTATTATTTATAAAAAAAACAAATCATTTGGCTTTTTAGATGTCTGTCCTTTTTGATGGAGATTTTTAATAAAAAACAACAAACGATCCCTTAGTTTTAATTAAACGAAAATTAAAGAGATTAATATTAAAGATAAAAATAATATTTTTTTAAATGTTAATTATTATGTATAATACCTGCCTATCCTCTTCCTCGTCCTCCATGTCTAACATATTTATTTAATTAATATATCAGTTAGTCCGACAATACTGATCATCAACGACAACAAGTATTATAATGATAATCATTGTCATCGATAAACTGATTTTAGTAAAAAAAAGTGTTAATTGATTTATTGATATATCAATTGATTACACAATCATTATTGTTGTTTATTTGTAGTTGGGGGTGGATGGGGGGGGGCTTACATACCTATACAGTGAGGCCACCAGAGACAGTGATAATTGTCTAATATAAAATGTATATTTAATTAGGGAATAACTTAGTAATAGAAATATATTTTTTTATATAAAAAAAGTAAATTTAATATTTTAATAATAACACATTATAATTTTTTTTTAATAATAAAACAATTTAAATATACAAATATACAATAGAGTTGATAATCTATATATATTTGCAGTAAAAAATAATAACAAAACAAAATAAATTCTTTACTATAAAATAAAAGTCAAAACTCAAACAAAATAAGAAATAAAAATTAAAAAAAAAAACAGAAAATCATTTGGCTTTTGGTGTCTTTGCTTTTGTTGGAGATTTTGTTGGATTAGTTGAACCACCAGTTTTCGATGGACTGATCGTTTTCTTGCCTTTAGTTGGCTTAGGCATTGCCGATCGGGTAGACATTAGCTTACTGTTCTGTACATTAGATATTGCCGATACTGATGATCCATCTAATCAATTATAAATAAAAATTATTACAAACATTATTTGTTTTTAAAAAAATAATAGATTGAATGAGAAAAAAAATCTAACCTTTCGGTACTTCTTCATCTCCTCCCTGTCCAACAAATTTGCGAACTAATATAATTAGTCCGACAATAAAGAGCACCAATACTACGATAACGACAACAAGTATTATCATAATCATTGTCAGCGATGAACTGGGTTTTGTGTCCAAAGAGCAGTCGATCAGTGTCTTCATGTTAGATGGTTTGCACTGAAGATAAAAATAAAATTCATACATTGATTGGCAAATTAAATGTTAAATTTTAAAAATCAGTTTTAGTCACATATATAATGCAAACAACATACGGCCGTTTCATTGAATGGTTGTCCCACATAACAGTATCGGATGATCTGGTTTTCATTGGTAAATACAATAGATCCATGGCCATTGATACTCTTTTGAACACCATTATTATCATATTCACTATACTGGCTGACAATTGTCATCAATTCAATGTTCAATTTTCTCTCATATGTGCCATTAATATTACATCTTTGGGTATCTTCTCTTACTATACTCGGTATCCCTTTTAGCGGATTGTTTGGATCATAAAAATTATAGACAATTGTGTGGTTATTAGACCAAAATGTTGTCACCCGTTCTTGCTTTCGATAGGACTCCGGTAGCCAAGCAAACAGTGGTTTAAAGTTGTCCTCAAATTTAATGTTTGTTGAATCTGATGTCTGCATAAGTCTTAGGCTAACATTGGAAACAACGGCCCAATCAATGGTTTTCAGATTTTTCTATTAAATATATATTAGATTTTTATCAATTGATTGATTAATTGTTTGATTAATATTATAAATACTAAATGATTACACTTTTAGTTTCGTTTTTTTAATAATACCTTAAGTCCGCCGACACGACAGTGATCGTAGTTTACGCCGTGAATCGTTGGTTTTGCATCTTTAAGATACCAATTACACCAAACCATAGAGTAGTTGTCACCGGTTATAAAGTTGGATTCGCCGTCACTTTCGTTATTAATGGTAACTGTTTTGTTGTCGTCGGGACCGTCAATGAACTGCAACTTCCAGTAGGTGTTACCGATGAAGAAGAACTTGCCTTCGAATTCAATCATACGATAAGCGAAATCAATTTTCTGTCCGTTTCTGTGGTATTCCTTACAGAAATCTTTGGGCTCAACGACTACTTGGACTACCGGTGCGATGATAGACACTAACAACAACAGTGCTGTCAAATCAAATCAAATAAAAAGTTTTAATTATTAATTCAATTGATTGTCTCTCAATTGTATTAGTATTAGTATAGTATATATGATATATATATATGAATACCTATTAGACAAATAGCATTCATTGTGGTCATCGATGAAACTGTTGGTGTAATCAAAATCAATCGTTTTTTTTATGTATGAAATAATATACAAAATTATTTGACACAAATTTCATGTAATAGTTTTTTTTTATCGAAATCAAAGTAACGTAAATTACAATTTCAAATTAGATTAATTCAAAAAAAAAAATAATATTATATATAAATCACGTGAATTTAATTATTATTGTTATTATTTGTTTATTATATATACAGTATATATATATATATATTTATTACAGTATTTCTATATTTTATTCAATCAAACTAAAAGCAGTCTTTTGATGTGTGAAATAAAGTTTTTTCAAATTATTTGTGTGACGATAGACGTCTCTCAAATACATACAGACACAGCTATAATTAATTTTTAAAAAATAAAGTCATATAATATAATAATCACTACCTTTTCCTTATTTTTTTTAATAATGTAGACACACACACACATACACACACACAGTCTTATCATAATTTAATTTATATATATATTTGATTATAATAATAATAAATAGTTTTCAAAATTTGATTGTGTTGTTGTTATTGTTTACTATTGATCAACATTGATCACATTTGGCAAACAAAATAAGATTAATAATTAATAAAATGTCTATTAACTCACAAAGTTTGCTCAACTTGTACAGTCGTCACAGCCATTAGCAATACGTTCATCGCGAGTCAAAGTGTCGGATCAAGTGGACCAAATAGCAAATCGATGGACTACGTTTTCGATAGCCGAGAGTTGGCTTAGGCATTGCCGATCAGATCACAACCACTACTACTCTGTACATTACATCGGCGGCGCAACAACAGTTGCCGTAATGAACGTACCGGTGATGAACCGATCTAATCAGCAAAATGTAAAAAATATTTGTATTTAAAATCCATACTAGATTGAATACGCTTTGCCGGCGCAAAAAAATCCATTACTTTGCGAAATATACAACGGCACTGACTCAAAAACAGATGTCAATGCATGGCTCGAATATTTTGAAATGGTTACCGAAGGCTATTCAGACAGCGAACGCATAATAGCGCTCGGCAGACACTGTACTGGTCAGATAACCAACTGGTTATATCATAATCATTACGATTAACGATGAACTTGGAGTGAGTGTCGACTCCGAATGACCAAATTCGGAAGTCACATCACAGATCCTTACAAATGTTTGATGAGCGAAGACTTCATCCAAAGAAGACATACAGTCATATAATTAAAAAAAACGATTACATTGATTGGCAAATTAAATGAAAATATTAAAAATCATTTTGAACGTTATATATATATAACTGCAATCAACATACGGCTTCATGCCTGGAAATACGGAACAATGGCGTGCCATCGCATCGAGTATTGAAGGCGCAAAAGACAAGAGATACGGTCATCCACAAAACAATTATGAAACTCTAGCTGGTATTGCCATACACAACAGGACAAGACAATTGTCAAAACAATGTTCAGATATTTATCCCTCGTTATTGCGCTGTGAGTATCATTGGGACGATGAATGTCACTCAAGGACTCAGCTCAGGACTAGTCCACAATTTCAAAACATTGATGAATACAATGACAATGAGTTGGCCATTGATAATGAACCGCATATAGATGAAGTCAATGCTATGATTATCGACGACTTCATTCCCCGTAAACATTTCTGTCATTTGATTAAACAGGACGACGAAACTAGTAATAAAACAATTGACAAAATATTAGATATTTTTAACGTTGTATGCAAAGACGGAAAATATATCGGTCAAAAGCAAGACGTCAAACAAGAGATCAAATTGATATCAAATGAACCGATAATTAATAAGATAGCTTTACGTCAACACGAAATCTATGATTACAATGTCCGTAAACTTATGTACATAAATGACTTGGCTACGGTACGATACAATTGCAATGATCACGTCATCGTACCGAAGTCACTTATTCCCGAGGTACTGAAACAGTTTCACGACAATATGAATCACATCGACGATGACAAAACAAAACGATTAATAAGTGCCCAGTTTTGGTGGCCAAACAAAGACAAAATAATTAGCGATTACGTCAAAAGTTGTTATACATGTCAGACAATCAAACGATCGCCTGACACTCACTGGTCAAAAAACAAGTGGTCACCGACATTCATAGATCAATGCAATGTCAGTGATGTATTTGAAAATGTCGATCAGGTCGATGTCAAGACAAACGGCAAATTAAAAACATTTGTAACACACAATGCATCACTAATGCCATACAATTGTTGTACAGTAGACAGCAGTTGTACAAATATTGACAAAAATGTAAACAAAATCGATAACTATACGAAAACTGACGAAAAAACTATTAAAAACAAAAATATTAACACAAATGTCGAAAAGATGACATCTGGTGTCAAAACGGTCGATACTGATGCACGCGCCGTGAACTCGTACTGTATTAATAATAATAAAAACTATTGTTATACAGCGAATGTAACAAATCGCGCGCAACGTTACTCATTACCGAATCGTTACAGTAAATACAGTACTGTAAATAATAATAATAATAAAAGTGTTGACAACATTTCGTCATCAAGTAGTCATCGATGGTCTATAGCGACGAAATATATATCATATATATATAACAACTGGTGCTAATAATGTATTGAGTCGGCCGACAACAAAAATGAAGACTCCTTTGGATGGTTTCAAAATCAAGTTTAATACATTTTATGTATGAAAGATGTCATAATAATATTTAACCGACGGCCAGTTAGACACAAATGTGACGATATTCTTTCAAATACATAGACACAGATATACCCTATAATTATCACTACCTGTTTCCTTATCCTATATATATATATATTAGACACACACACACATACACACACACAGTCTTATCATAATTTAATTTTTTAATTTAATATGTATATATAACTTGATATATATATTAATAAATAGTTTTCATTGATTTGATTGTGTTGATTGTTATTTTGTTGTCACATATTGATCTAACAAAAATTATTTGATTTGATTTTTTTTAGACACAAATAGCTATAATTAATTTTTAAAAAATAAAGTCAAATTAATATTTTAATAATAACACATTTTGATTTTTTTTTTAATAATAAAACAATTTCAATTTGAATATACAGTAGAGTTGATAATCTATATATATATTTGCAGTAAAAAATAATAACAAAACAAAATAAATTCTTTACTATAAAATYAAAGTTAAAAACTCAAACAAAATAAGRAAAAAATTAAAAAAAAAACAGAAAATCATTTGGCTTTTGGTGTCTTTGCTTTTGATGGAGATTTTRTYGGATTAGTTGAACCACCAGTTTTCGATGGACTGATCGTTTTCGTGCCTTTAGTTGGCTTAGGCATTGCCGATCGGGTAGACATTAGCTTACTGTTCTGTACATTAGATATTGCCGATACTGATGATCCATCTAATCAATTAAAATTAAAAAATATTTGTATTTAAAATAATAMTAGATTGAATGAGAAAAAAAATCTAACCTTTCGGTACTTCTTCATCTCCTCCCTGTCCAACAAATTTGCGAACTAATATAATTAGTCCGACAATAATGAGCACCAATACTACGATAACGACAACAAGTATTATCATAATCATTGTTATCGATGAACTGGGTTTTGTGTCCAAAGAGCAGTCGATCAGTGTCTTCATGTTTGATGGTTTGCACTGAAGAAAATAATTAAAAAAAAATCATACATTGATTGGCAAATTAAATGTTAAAATATTAAAAATCATTTTTAGTTATATATATATAATGCAATCAACATACGGCCGTCACATTGAATGGTTGTCCCACATAACAGTATCGGATGATCTGGTTTTCATTGGTAAATACAATAGATCCATGGCCATTGATACTCTTTTGAACACCATTATTATCATATTCACTATACTGGCTGACAATTGTCATCAATTCAATGTTCAATTTTCTCTCATTTGTGCCGTTAATAATCAATCTTTGCTCATCTTTATCTACTTTACTCGGTATCCCTTTTACCGGATTGTTTGGTTCATAAAAATTATAGACAATTGTCTGGTTATTAGACCAAAATGTTGCCAACCGTTCTTGCTTTCGATGGGACTCCGGTAGCCAAGCAAACAGGGGTTTAAAGTTGTCCTCAAATTTAATGTTTGTTGAATCTGATGTCTGCATAAGTCTGAGGCTAACATTGGAAACAACGGCCCAATCAATAGTTTTCAAATTTTTCTATTAAATAAATATTAGATTTTCATCAATTAATTGATTGATTATTATTATAAATACTAAAAATGATTACAGTTTTAGTTGGCTGTTCTATAGTATAGCTCCCACTTGTTGAGCACGCGATTATTATTTCCATATATTTATATGTATTTTAATTTAGTTTAGGTTAGGTTAGGTCACGTGCGATTCATAAATTTAACGTTAAAACTGTATTAAATAATAATCGCGTGCCAACAAGTGGGAGCTATACTATAGAATCCCCTTTTAGTTTCGTTTTTTTTGTTGTTTTTTTAATAATACCTTAAGTCCGGCGACACGACAGTGATCGTAGTTTACGCCGTCAATCGTTGGTTTTGCATCTTTCAGATACCAATTACACCAAACCATAGAGTAGTTGTCACCGGAGATAAAGTTGGATTCGCCGTCACTTTCGTTATTAATGGTAACTGTTTTGTTGTCGTCGGGACCGTCAATGAACTGCAACTTCCAGTAGGTGTTACCGATGAAGAAGAACTTGCCTTCGAATTCAATCATACGATAAGCGAAATCAATTTTATGTCCGTTTCTGTTGTATTCATTACAGAAATCTTTGGTCTCAACGACGACGACTAGGACTACCTGTGCGATGATCGACACTAACAGTGCTGTCAAATCAAATCAAATAAAAAGTATAATATTTTTTAATTTATTAATTCAATTGATTGTCTCTCAATTGTATGAGTATTAGTATAGTATATATGATATATATATAAATACCTATTAGACAAATAGCATTCATTGTGGTCATCGATGAAACTGTTGGTGTAATCAAAATCAAAATCAATCGATTTTATGTATGAAATAATATACAAAATAATATTTAACCAGATATTAGACACAAATTTGACAAATATTTTTTTTTATCTAAATAAAAGTAATGTAAATTACAATTTCAAATTAGATTAATTAAAATCTATATATATATATATTATATAAATCGCGTGAATTTAAATTAATTCATTTAATTATTATTGTTATTATTTCTTTATTCATTATATATCATATATATAACTTTATATATATATTTATTACAGTATTTCTATACAATTTTATACAATGTGTGATTTTGATTTGTGAAATAAAGTTTTAAAAAAAAATTATTTGATCTGATTTTTTTTTTGAGACACAAATAGCTATAATTAATTTATTTAAAAATTATTTTTAAGTATAAAATTAATACTTTCTATATCTTATAGATTTTATTAATTTTTGAATTAAACGCAATTCAATTTTTAGAGCAATATTAAAATGTTAAATAAGTTTTATATTTATTTATTTTATATATATATATATAATTATTATTATTTCATTAGTAATGTTAAATTATTAGTAAATCTAATTTCATAAATGAATAATAATAATTTTTATTTACTGTAAACATATATATATAAATAATTTTTTTTATAGATATAACAATGAATATTACAATAAATATGTATTAGTGAACAATATTTGATAATTTATAAAATTAAATATATTGAACGTAAATATATATATAGAAAATCATAGATATTATAATACGAGCGACAGTTTGCCGATAGTCGACAACAACAACAATACTATCGGTTCCCGAATGTGACGGGTGTTTACTATGGCCACCGCCGCCGCCACTTCCGCCGCTACTGTTGTCCGCTTTTGTTGTTACGTCACCGCCAATCGGTTCTTCACCACTTTGATCATCTTCGGGACAGGAAAACAGATATCGATTCGATAGCCAATCGGTACAGTTTTCATCTGATAAATAGTGTCGGCGACAATGGGTTCGCGTACGAAACAAATAGAGCAAATAGTTTGCGGGCGACTCGACATTCGGATAGGCAAACGCCGAGGTCAGGTCGGGCGGAAATGACTCGTTAAAGCCGTTTACATAACCGGCCGAATCGCCTTCGGGTCGGATAATCTCTTGCGAACTGTCAAAATAGTAGACACGAATACCGGAGAATGTGATTATACGGGAACCGCCGCCCTTACCGTCCATATCGGAATCAGCGTAGGCGGCACTGTAGCCAATATCTGGTGCCCACTGCCATTCGTCACCCTCGGTCCGCGTCGACTTGAGCGTACCGTCTGGCCAGTATGTCCAGTAGCGTTTGTCGCGAAACAAATAGGTAACACCTTTTTGCTGACCGGCCAATATGGTTACGATGGCTGTCTGTGCGGTCACGGGTGCCAACTCTGGCCACCAGACACGATAGGGACCTTTAGGTGATACCTGTTTGTTTGGCAAACCATAGATATCCCAGAAATACCAGTCCCTATAGATCCGTACGGTATTGTTCGGCAATCGATGGGCTGCGTGTATGTATGTGTCCTCACACAGGGCTCGCGATGGCTTCAGTACCCATTGTCGCTGACTTATCGGTGACGAGTCATTGTATTGTTGTTCGTCATCTATCAGTTGGGTTTCAGTTTGATTTCCAGTCGTTATTGTCCGCATCCGTGGCTGCGATAACGGGTTTTCATAGACAGGTTCGGCTGCTGTCATCTCATCAGTCATATGTGCTTTCGTTGCTGTTGTCGTACCGATGATAGTGATGAACAACACTATCAACAGTAGGTCAACAACAATCATTGTCCACTGACCAGACATTTATTATTTTTTTTAGGGGAACAACTGTTTTATTAGGATTTATTATTTAATAAAAAAATAACAAATTTTTTAAATACGTTATAATATTTTATATTTTACTTATATGACTGACAGTGAAATAATTTGTTGTAATAATTGTCAAAAAAAAATAATTATTATTAAATTTTGATTTATTAGTGTTTTTTGAATTTTTTTTATTAATATAATTATACAGTGTTTTAATTCACGCGATTTTATTCATATAAAATAAGATTCGTTAGAAAATAATTAATAATTTTTTTTATATATATTAATAATTAAATATTGTATTTATAATTAGTTTAAACGATTTATAATCATTTATAAAGTATTTGTTTGAATTTAATGTTTTTTTTTAATAATAACTGATTATTTAATAAAAGTCATAAATAAATGTTAAAATAGTTTACAAAATAATTAATTCATTTGTTTGTTAAGTGATAATAAATTTTGTTCAAAAAAATAAAAAATAAATAATAAACTGTATCTTTTATACACTGTATATATCATCGACAATAATATGAAAGGCATTATTTGTCAAAACGGTATTTAGTATACACTATATATATATATACATTAATTTTAAAAATTACATTAATTAATAACATTTTTTTTTTTAAATTACAAATTGATAGCACTGTTGGTGTTGTTGTCGATCATCTCATCATTGATTGTAATCATTGAGTCGAAAAAATTTTGCGAACAATACAATAAAAATGATAACGAAATTGATTTCGCGTTTCGCTATTATATAAGAAATAGTATCAATAAACTAACCAAAGAGTATCGCAAATACTTTTTCATCGGTAATACCTACTGGAAGTTGACATACATTGACGGCAAGGATAAGACAGTTATCATTGATGACGAAAGTGCCGGTCAGTCTAACTGGTTGTCGGGCGATAAATATTCAATGGCCTGGTCTCTCAGGTTTAACGATATCAATAAAATCGGTGCTTTGCGGGTAATTTTCGGCTTAAATCTATATTATTAGAGCCTAGAGATTAAACCTATATTATATAGACAGCCAGCAAAAAAAAGTATTGTTTTTTTTATAATGCAGTTATACATATATAAAATGTTAGATTAATTAGTTAATTATTATTTAGTTACGGTTAGTTTGGGGGTGAGTGTGAGGTTAGGAAGTGGTTGGGTGGGTGGGTGTGGATGTGTTTGGGGCAAATACTTTTATATGCTGACTGTCCTATAATATAGATTTAAGCCTTTATTTTATACAAATATAAAACTAAACAAAACAAATATTATGTATTATATATATTAAACTTTGATACCCCACCAAAACTTTTTTTTGAATATATTTTATACTACTATTTTTGGTGTTTATTTTTTGTTGTTTCAATAGAAAGATATGGAAACAATTGATTGGTTAGAACCGGTAGATGATAGCTTGAATTTGACTACATCAGCCCAATTGACATCATCGATATTGATTTTTCGAAATTTTTTCAAACCAATATTTGCCTGGATACCGGTGCCGCTAAATAATAATGATTTATGGCTAACATTTTGGGATAACAAAGCTATAACCCAATCCTATGATATGACATACCCGTATAGGCCGTTCAGTTTTATTGTTACTCACGCTGAAAACGTGGCTATTATTAATGGGACGCTTGAGAAACAAGTGGACAAACGGACTAATTTGATGGCAATTATGGCACAGTATAGTCATTATGATTACGATAATTATCCTAAACAAGGTTTATCGAGAGGTCAGGGATCTATAGTGTTCATGTATGTCGACACTGCCATCAAATACTGTTATGTGGGACAACCATTCAATGAGACGGCTGTTAGTTATATACAGTATATACAGTATTTATACATAATATAATTTAAATTCATAAATTATTATAAAATACTACTTGAATAAAAAATTTTTTTTAATTATTAATTTATATATAAATTTTTGATTTCAGTGCAAACCGGATAACTTGAAAACATTGATCGACTGTTTGCCTACAATACCGACAAATAATTTGTTAATTACTATTATATTGATTGTCATCGTATTTGTCCTGTTTATCATAACTATTGTTTTTGTCTCGTATTTGTGTTGTAGTAAAACAGGTAGACGTCATAGACATAGAGGTATACAGTAGTATATTATAAGTTTTAAAATTGATTTAAAAAAATTAATATTTAATATATATTTTATATATATATATATCTTACTATAGATTCGGAAAAATCATCAAAAAGATCGAGACAAAGGTCAGCAAACAACAAAAATTAGTCAATTTTAGGCACCGGTAGTCACAAAAATTTTTTTTAACTACCAGTCCATCAAAAAAAAAATAAAATAAACACACAGTCAATTAGCTCCGACATCTAAACAGAAATAATTATTTTTTTTAAATTTATAAATTTATATTATATTATATTATATTGTTTGATTTCAACTGTTTGTTTAATATACTATACAGTGTATATTATCTAATATAACAAATTATTTTTGTTTGTTTTTTTAAACTAATTAATTAATTAAATAACTATTTATTTATTTAATAAATTTTCTTATGTTACACACTGTGTAATATAAAGTATATTTATGTCTATTTTATTATACATAAGTTTTAAATAAAATGTTACTATAAATAAACAACAATTAATATATAATTTATATATTGTATATATACTGTATATGATATTTATATTGATTATATTGATCACAAAAAAAACAAAAAAAACAGTTAATTTAACTAAACTTTTTCACTATATATTTTTGTTTATAAACAAAACAAAAAATAAACTCGTTATCGTAATAATTGGATAATAATTGATTTAAATTGATTATAATATTTACTGTAATTAAATATTATTATTTTTTTATAACTGAAATTTATATCTCGTAATAAATTTTGTTTTATCCATGTATTATATTTAATACATCCGTATAAGTAATTTCATAATAGTTTTAATCAGATTATTATCAAATTGATTATTAAAATATTTATTTAAAAAATTTTTTTTTTTTTGGTGACATTTGTATTACACACAGACAGCACAGTTATCAGTCGGCAACAGCACCCATAATAGCACATCCATAATAATGAACGACAACACCAACACCGACACCAACAACGACGACAACAACAACAGCACTAAACAAATATATATCAAATTGATTATCATTTTAGCGATACTGATCGGTATATTGGTTATCATACTATTAACTCTGTGTCTAATATGCTATGTATGGCCCAAATGTCGGCGCCGACGGCACAACCAAAAACTACAACAACAACTGCAAGAACGGCGACAACAGCGCCGAAAACGCGGATCAAACGAGTCGACAGAAAGCGGACAGACATTGAATTTGAAAGACCGATCAGATTATACTACCAGTGCTGATAGTAATGTACGAATCATTAAGACTAATCCGAAATACAAAGTCAGACAACAACCGCCACCACAAACATCGCCAACAACAACAACAACTACAGGCAGACCTATTAAAATCAATAGACCTATCAATAAAATAACTACCACTAAGGTATCGGCAGCGCCGGCGGCGACCACCGCTAAAAAGATACACATCCATAGGACAACCAAACAGTCGGGCACTAATACTGCTACTAATAAGCCTAAAGATGGTATGGTTGGTGTCAAACGTGATAGATCTGCCAGTCCTAAGATAAAGACCACCACCACTACTACTAATAAGGCTAAACATACTCATGTTGTGTCCACTAAAAAGACTGTGAGTCCAACGGGAGGAGGAGGTGGTGGTGGCTATAAAACAACAACAACACCATCACCACAGTCACCAAAACGTTTCAAACAATCTACCAGTGCTAAGACTACCACTACTAGTCCTAGAAGTCCGACTCCTACTACCACTAAACGTCAAACAACGCCAACAACTGGCAAAGTCGGCAAAGATAAAAAACGGTCAAAAAAAGTGGTCAAATCACTGGATGGTGAGGAACAGCAAAGTATTAGATCAGTTATTGACAAATAATAACTGTCTAACCAACGAAAAAAATACAATTGAATTGACATACCAGTCCCCCCCCACACACCCCAACTATTCTGTATTAATTTATAGTACAGTATATAAATATTACAGTATATATTGAATGAAATCATAACACATTAATATATATAAAAAAAATTTTGGTGTTGTTGTTTAGTTTTTTATGATTTTCAAATTAATAATTATTATTACACACATAAAAAATAAATTTTAAAACATTTTATTGTACAGTATATTTTTTTTAAAACAAAACAAAATATTGTAATTAATTAATTTTGTTGTTGTTATTGTTGACATAAATTAAATAAATATTAATATAATTAATTTAATTCAAAATTAAATAAATAAATATATCTATTGTTTATCAGAATTTTTGAGATTATAGGTTATATAAAACTTAAAGGTAAGAACATTTAATATTATTAATAATAATATTAATTAGTATATAATTATAATTAGTATTATTATTAATATTAATTAGTATTAATAATAATAATTATTATTATTATTAGTTTCATTGTTTGATTTCAATTAGTTTGCTTCTTAATTGATCGGTTGCGACATCATTGGCCACCACTGGATAAGTGGCTTCTTCAGTCATACCACAATTGTTAACCTTTGACCTGGATACCTTTATGAAGCCACCATCTCCCCAAATTGGACCCCAACTGTTCCCGTTCCCCCCACACACACACCCCACCAAAAAAATACAATTCAATATTAAACTAATTTTTAAAATGATTAGTTTTACAATAGTATATATGTATATGTAATATATAAAGTATATATACTGTATATATATATATATATATATTTAAGTTAATTAAACAGATATTTTTCTAATGTTATTAATTTATTATAATATAGAGTATAATAAAATTACCTGTTTTTTAGTATGAAATACTCGGGTGTATAACCAACGGCAAGCATTGCGTGATTTATTTCATCTTTATTACATAAGGGGTCATCATATATACCGTTTCTTTTTATTTATTATTACAGTATTTTGTTGTTAATGAAACAAAAAAAAGAGATAAAAATTAAAAAGAAATAATAAAAAGTTTTTTTCTAGTAATTAGTTTTTGATGAAATAATAATTATATATATCTATATATATATACACATAGTTATAACAGGTATATATCAATACGTATAATTCAATCATAATAATACAATATATCAATTATGATAATGTTTTTTTTTATAAAAATAAAATTATAACAACAATTAATATCTAATATATATATATCATAAATACTTGTAAAACGGAAACTTTTCGGTCGCATGTATGGCCACAGTGACCGGTCCGTGCCTATAGATAGCGGCCGTCAATTCCTGGTCAGAACCGGTGGTTACTTTTTTTGACTCTTTAATGTCGACAACGATTCCATGATTCTGATTATACTGACAGCTGACCGGCTAATGATTTAATTTAATTAATTGATTAATTAATAATAATAATTAAATATAGTTAATAATTAATAATAATAATTAAATATAGTTAATAATTAATAATAATAATTAAATATAGTTAATAATTAATAATAATAATTAAATATAGTTAATAATTAATAATAATAATTAAATATAGTTAATAATTAATAATAATAATTAAATATAGTTAATAATTAATAATAATAATTAAATATAGTTAATAATTAATAATAATAATTAAATATAGTTAATAATTAATAATAATAATTAAATATAGTTAATAATTAATAATAATAATTAAATATAGTTAATAATTAATAATAATAATTAAATATAGTTAATAATTAATAATAATAATTAAATATAGTTAATAATTAATAATAATAATTAAATATAGTTAATAATTAATAATAATAATTAAATATAGTTAATAATTAATAATAATAATTAAATATAGTTAATAATTAATAATAATAATTAAATATAGTTAATAATTAATAATAATAATTAAATATAGTTAATAATTAATTAAAACAAAACAAATTGTTAACTAACTTTTCCAGTATATGGATAATCATTGACAGTATTGAGTGCTTTAGATTTAATTAGGAAATCAAATGCCATACTACTTGAACCTAATATATATTGTATATATAAATATATATATATTATTAGATTTTATTAACTAATATATTATTAATTAATATATATGTAGTTTTTATTTATTACAATAAAAAATTATTATATTTAATACTACCTGTAATTATATATAAAGACAAGAAATTCATTATCTTTTTAATCCATTAAGTAAACATAATAGGTAAATTAAGAAACTAACTTCGGATTAAAACAATTTTATAATATAAATGTAGTCAAATCACATGTTAGTGTTTATCAGAGTTGGAAAAATGCAAATTTTTTCAATTTTTGATTTATAATCCGGCATAATTTCATGGATTATACATTGTATTAAAGTAAATAATACAGTTATATTGGATTATATTATACAAACATTTTTGCTTCTCCCAACCTTAGCTTTTAATAATTATTATAAATTTATTTATAAATAATACAGATTTTAAAAACCGAATTTATTTTTTTTGTAAACTATATATTTGTTATTAGATTGAAACTGAGATAATGATTTTCCTGTCACTAATTATATATATATATATACTACTACTACTAATAATAATAATAACTTTTAATACAGACCTCCATCGCAACCAAGGGTTCCGTAATCACGGGAACAGTCGATCAGATTTTGTTCACTTAATTTCAATTGATTTTTCGGATCAAACTTTCCCTCAGCGATCTGAACCTTCATTAGATGACCTAATAATAATAAAAAATAATTAATAAACAATTCAAATAATAATAATAATTTATTGTTTTTTATGTTAATTTTTTTATTTACTTTCGAGTGCAGCGGCCGATGCAAAGCTCCAACACGAACCACAAGTTTCCTATATATATAAAAAATCATTTATATTTAAAATTTTTAATTTATTTAATTATGTTTTGTAAATTAAGTTAGGATTAGATTAGTTAGTTTTATTTAGAAACTTATTTTTCTCTCTATCTGTCTGTCTGTCTGTCTATTTATTTATTTATTTATTTATCTATTTGTCTATCTATTTATCTATCTATTTATCTATCTATTTATCTATCTATTTATCTATCTAATTATATATCTATTAATCTATCTATTTATCTATCTATCTATCTCTAAAATTTTAAATCGGTTTACATAAATTAACAAGTTTATATTAGACATTTTTTTGGTTAAAAATTGTTAAATTTAATTAATATATTTAATTAATAAAAAAATATATACCTGATTTCTAGATGGTGATACTATACCATACTTTCTCCAATCCCATTCAACCGGTATATTAGACATATCGACAGCAACGGGTGGATCGTTGGCGGAATATAATGTTACTGTTAATTATAACAATAATAATAATATATTACTAAATAAGAAAATAAACAACAAATATATAAAAAAAAATAAAGACAAATATCAATATACCCGATGTATGTAATATAACTAATAACTATAACATTATTTATATAAATACATACTTTTATCGTTTTTTTGTTTAATAAAACCGAATTTTTGTTTCCGAATTTCTTGTAAAGACTTTTTTTGATGATTTTTTTTTAGACAACAACAACAAAAAAATTAATTGAAAAAACAAATGATAATAAAATTGTATAATATATTCAATTATTTTGGATGTGTTTAGGTGTATGTGTGTGTAAATATTATATATTTATATGTTTGTGTATGTATGTGTGTGTGTGTGTGTATGCGTGATACACACATACACATACACATATGAAAGTAATTAATAATTATTTATAGCAACTAATAGTAAACATAACAATAAATATTACACATACACATACATACAGATACACACAAACACATATACATACAGATACACACAAACACATATGTACATACATACACACACATATGTACATACATACACACACATATGTACATACATACACACACATATGTACATACATACACACACATATGTACATACATACACACACATATGTACATACATACACACACATATGTACATACATACACACACATATGTACATACATACACACACATATGTACATACATACACACACATATGTACATACATACACACACACACATGTATGTGTATGTATGTATTGGATTAAGACTATGATTAAAGTCATACTAACCATATCTGTTAGTTCATTGATACCCTGTATATAACCATTATTTCCATTAGCGTTATGTTCTTTAATTACACTAACTTTTTCCTTAAATAGTCTAATCCTTTCCTCATTTTCACTTTCGGTTAAATATTTCTTATTGAATATTGTCTTTACAAACAAACAAATATAATAATAATAATATTTTTGTTTTTGATTAATTTGTTGGGTCAACATAATATCTTAAAATCAATATTATTGGTAATAATAATAATAATAATAATAATAATAATAATAATAATAATAATAATAATAATAATAATAATAATAATAATAATAATAATAATAATAATAATAATAATAATAATAATAATAATAATAATAATAATACAAACTTTATAATCGTTATAAAACGGTAAAAGTTGTGTCAAATTCAATAAATCAAGTTTAGTTAAATCAAAATTGAGAACATAGTATGTGAGATCTTAAAAAGATTTAAAAAAAAAATTAATAATAAAAACAATTAATATATTCAATAAATTGATTGATAAGACTTTATAAAAATACAATTTTTTTTGTCTAATTATACTAAAAATTATAATTTAAAATTTACAAATACAGTAGTATACTATATATATATATATACAGTATAACTACTGGTAAGTACAGTATATTATATATATTTATTTATTTATAAAATACCGTTTAAAAGATTTCCAATGGGTGCCAATATATTACTTATCCCGTTGTCGATGGGGGCCAACAAGTTAACTAATAGATTATTATTAGGGTTTATTTGGCCATTGGTTGACACTGTATCTGTTTGGCCGATGATTGGACTTAATAGATTAGTTAGACTAGTTAGTAAATTAGGATTATCATTATTATTATTATTATTATTGGGATAATTAGGATTATTTGGATGATTAGGATTATTGGGATGATTAGGATTATTGGGATGATTAGGATTATTGGGATTATAATGATTATTGGGATGATTAGGATAATTGGGATAATTAGGATAATTAGGATTATTGGGATTATAATTATTATTATTGTTGTTATTATAATTAATATTGTTGTTGTTGTTATTATAATTATTATTATCTTGGTTTGGTGTCTGATAAGATAAATCCAATACCAATAATAATAATTTAAATACAATAGATTTCATTATTATCAAATTTTATATTTATTATTTATTAGACACCATTTATATAATTTAGTTTAAAAAGTTTAATTTAGTTGTTAAAAAAACTAAACCTTATGTTATGTAAGATTGTAATAAATTAATTATTTAGTTAAAAAATAATAAATAATAATAATATATACTTTACTGTAGTAGTAGTAGTAGTATTAGTAATTTAGTAATATTAAATTTTAAAAAATCAATTTGTTTTATAAATATTTATTTAGCAATTAGTATGTTTTGTTGTTGACGTCAATCAATTAGTTTAACTTATAATTTATACACAAAAAAAATATTAGCATTTAATAACAGTATGTTTGCTGTATGTTAAGTAAACTAAAATTTTTTTTACATTTATTATTTAAAGTAAACTTAAGTAAACTAACATTTTGATATCGTTTACTAATATTATCTAATTATATATATATATATATTAAATTAATATAAATTATAGACAATTTTAAAAAAATAATTATTCTATATAAATTATAATACATATAATTACAAAATATATGTAGAAAAAAAACTATAATTTAATTTATAACTAAACCAGTTAAGAATGCTAGAAAGCATTTTCAGAAAAAAAACTTGAATAGCATTGAAAACCATTAGTTTGTATAATTATAGCGGCTATATAGTAACATATAAAAATTTAAAAACTGGTCAAATATACATAATATAAATATTGTCATGTATGGTATCAAATGATTCAGTATGACAAAATATTCTCAATTTTAGTCATGCAAGTTATCAAATGACTCTATATGACAAAATAAACACAACTTTAGTCATGTAGAGTATCAATTGACTCGGTATCACAAAATAAACAACTATAGTCATGTGGGGTATCAAATGACTCGGTATCACAAAATAAACAACTATAGTCATGTGGGGTATCAAATGACTCGGTATAACAAACTAAACTCAACTTTAGTCATGTGGGGTATCAAATTACTCGGTATAACAAAATAAACTCAACTTTAGTCATGTGGGGTATCAAATTACTAGGTATGACAAAATAAACAACTACTCGTGTGTTATCAAATGATTAAGTATAACAAAATAATCATCTATAATTATACTTTTTCCGCTTATACTTATTCTTTGTTCCCGTAGATATCAAAATATTAATGCATATTTTTTATTCTTGTTTTTGATGCTTTATTCAAATCTATAATTAAAAAAAATTAAAATTTTCTTATACTTTTGCCGCCATTTTTTTAAAAATAAAAAAAATAATTTTGATTTATTATATCTTATTTTTTATTCTCTATGCAATTCTAAACTTTTTACCTATTTTTTTTATTTTGGCCGCCATTTTCTTTATGTTCCCGAAGAGATATCAAAATTTTGATGAAACTTTTCAATACATTATTAGTAGTCCTCTAACCGAATCTGAAGTCAGAATTTCAAAATTCGCAAAATGAAATGCTACACACAGACACACACACACACACATATAAAAAGCCATTATAGATTTCAGAAAACAAAACTTTTCAAGTTTTTTTTGAATATTATTATTATTATTATCATTATTATCATCAAAAATAATTTATTTTAATCAATATAATTTAAACACAATACACATTATTCGTTATTTTAAAAAATAAAATAAAATAAAATAAAAATAAACTATAATAAATTTATAGAAAATTAAACTTTTAATAGGTTTTTATATGTTTAAAAGTTATTAAATTTTAGATTAATTATATATTATTATGGAATATTATATATGGAAAAAACTAAGTTAACAATACAACACTATTCCAGTGGTGTAGGGATATGAACTGTAAGTATTTATTTCTTTAACTGATTTTAAAAATTCAAAAACATCTCTACTGGAACCTAAATTTAAAAAAAAAATAAAAATAAATAATTAATTAAGTTAATTGTTATTATTATATAATAATAATAATAATATAATAAATTATTATACAGAATAATAATAATAATAATAATGTATAATAACTATAATACAGACCTCGATTGCAACCATCCGTTCAGTAACTACGAGTACAGTCGATCAGATTCTGTTGACTTAATATCAATTGATTTGACGGATCAAACTTATCCTCAGAAATCTGAACCTTCATTAGATGACCTAATAATATAAGGATATAATATATATATCAATAATAATAATAATAATAAAAATAGTAATTAAAATAAATTAATTGATAAATTTGTTATTATTATTATTATTATTGTTATTTACTTTCCAATACAGAGGCCGATGCAAAACACCAACACGAACCACAGTCTTCCTAAAAATTTAGTTTTATTTTTAAAAAATAAAACATTTAAAAATTGGGGGGGGGGAAATGGCAGATTAAATTTTTATTTTTGATGAACTTTGGCACCTGGTATCAGGGATGCTATTTTATCTCAAAAAACAAAAATCATATTTAAAAAGTCCAATAAAGTGTTTTTTTAGCATTTAAATATATAATTGAATACTACTGTATTTACATGAACAGTAAATTTATTAAAATTTAAAACTTAAGAAAAAATTAAGATAGGTATTTATTTATAAATAAGTCAATATATTAAAATTTATAACTAAAATAACTATTAATAGTATAATAGAATAAATCATACAATTAATTAAAAAAAGTTATAGAATTTAATTAAATATTAAATAAAATATCTTTTTCTATTATAATTTATATAATATTTTATTATATTATTATTTATATTATATATCAATACAATTGTCTATTAAGAGTACCTAATATTAAAAGATGGTATTTATATCTAATATCTATTAAATTTCTATAACTTATAGATTGTCTGAATTAATTAGATTATATAAAAAAAAACTATTTGCTTGTTTGTATTATAAAAACTTTTACATTACTATATAAATATATAAAAGATAAATTTTATCTATGCTTACTATTATATATATATATATATATTTAGTTAATTGTAATATCGTAATGATATAATGATTATAAATTATATCAATTTTACAATTAGATATTTAAAAAAAATACCTGATTTATTGGTAAGATTACTATACCATACTTTCTCCAATCCCATTCAATCGGTATATTATTAGTAGTATCGTCAGAATATAATGTTACTGTAATAGTAATAATATAATAATAATATTATTAATAATAATAATAAATAATTATTACATTAATAATAATAATAATAATATATAATACAAATATCAATATATCCGATGCTCAGAGTATGTAATATAGCTGTTAATAACTATAACATCACTTATAAATAAACAACTTTTATCATTGTGCGGATGAAACTTATTGTACAAAATTTGTTTTACATTTTTACAATTTGTACTACAAATACAATGATTTATTATAATAACAATAAATAAATTTCAAATATGATAATTAATAGTATGCTAATATACAATATGTATACATATATAATATATAAATTTATTAAAATCAGAGACAAAATTAGTAATATTTATTAGCAGTAGACAATATAATGGTTTTTTTTAATTTAAGTTTTAGTTATTAATGTAATATTATTATTTATAAAAAAAAAATCTCAACAATCTGCGACACCGGTATACAGGCTCAGGGAGTGAGAGAGAGAGAAAGAGGGAGAGAGAGAGAGAGAGAGAGAGAGAGAGAGAGAGAGAGAGAGAGAATATACATACTTTTAGGCATTTTTTCGCTTTTACTTTTGTTTGTATTATTTCTTGAATTATTTTCGTTTGGTTTTTTATAACCGAATTTTTGTTTTTCTATTTCTGACCATTTCTTTGATGATTTATTTTGAATAATGATAACAATTTAAAAAAAAAATAATAAAATAAAAAGTATAATCTATTATAACATATTAATCCATAGTTATTTTATTTTATAAATAAAATATGTAAATCAAAATTAATTAATTTATTATAAATATATAAGACTAACCATATCTGACATTTCATTGATACCCTGTATATAATGGGAACACTCGTCGGCGTTGTGTTTATTAAACGATACAATCGTTTCCTTGAATAGACCGACCCTTTCTATCTCTTCCTCTTTGGTTTTATATGTTTTGTTGAACAATGTCTTTAAATTACACAAACAAACAAAAAATTTAAATAAATATTACTAATAATAATTGATTTGTTTTATAATATTTAGCATAATAATAATAATAATACTAACTTTATAATCATTGTAAAACGTTATAATTTGTGTTGAATTATTTATATCAAGTTTACTTAAATCATAGTCGATAACAGTATTATTATTTTTAATTTCTTTATTATTAAGAATATATATATATAAAAATAAAAAAAATAATAATATTAATAATTATTAATATAATTGATATGATTAATAATAATAATAATAATATTAATTTATTTATATATATAGTTAATTTTAAAAAAAGAATATATATTTTATTTCAATTTTAAAAGTTAAAAACTCAAATTTTTTGCATAATTTTTTTATATAATTATATTTTAATATTTTTCAAACTTTATAATATTTATATTTAATTTATATTAATTTATATTAAATTTATATTTATTTAAGAGAAAATTGAACTTTTTATATGTTTAAATATATTTAAAAGTTATTAAATTTTAGATTAATTATATATTATTAATACAATATTATTTTTTTGTTTGTTTGGAAAAAATCTATGTTAACTAAGTTATTGTTATTACCAAAATAAATAAAATATTTGATAAAAATCGAATTTATAGAAAAAATATAATAATAATAAACTTAAATAAAATATAAAGTACAGTACTATATATTTATTATACATTTATATAGATTAAATATATATTTATATATATATATATTAAATATAATAATAATACTAATACTGTATATAAAATATTTGTTTTCTAGTCAGTACTGTATATATATACAGATATATAGTTGGTTTTAATTTAAATTTATTTCTTTTAGTTTGTCTTTCATTTGATCGGTTCCGACATCACTGGTCAGCACTGGATAGTAGTCTTGTTCACTGATACCGCAGTTGTTTAACTTAGATCGGGACACTCGGGCAAAGCCATCCTCACCCCAATATGCGCCCCAACTGTCCCCCACCAGCACCCAGTCAACCGGGTAAACGAAAAAAAATAATAT